CACACAGCCAAGAGTATATGGGCAGCACAAAGTGAACTAGAGAGGTTTGAGAGCAGGTGAAGGGGACAGAGTTGGGTAGGTTGGGAAGGGGAAACAGAAACAGGAGGAGTCAGAAGAGGTGAATATGATCAAGATATATTGTAGGAAGTTATCAAAGAACTAATAAAAATGAGAAATTAGAGAAAAAAATCAGTGTCTGTCGAGCAAACCAGTTCATTGTCTTTAAGATTAAACATTCTTAAAATGCCACTGTGTGGTTAAAGTCTTTCCCTTGGTGTTGCTAAGAGAGCCTTTTCTCCAGTTTCACAAACAATCCTTGACTTCCACTATCCACGTTGCTATCAGCATTCTTTTCTTCAGAGTTGTCACAACTGTCCCACATTAATCTCTTCTTAGCAGTATTTATTTGTTAAGATTTATTTTATTTTTAATCAAGCATATGTGTGTATATTTATGTGTATGTACAAGTGTCTGCATGTGTATATCTGTGTGTGTCTCTGTGTGAGTATGTAACTGTGTATACATGGGTCTATCACTGTATGTGTAAGTCTGTGTGTGTGCATATGTGTGTGTGTGCATGTTCACTTATGTTTGTACATGTACTAGAGAGTGCTGAGGCCAAAAGCATCAGATCTCCTGAGGCTGGAGTTAAAAGTGGCTGTGGGCTGCCTGTCCTGGGTACTTGGGAGATGAACTCCGATCCTTTAAAAGTGCAGGATGGATGTGCTCGGGTCCTTTAGACGAGCATTGTGTGCTATTAACCATGGAGCCATCTATCCTTCCCTTTTAGTAGCATTTTGGGGTTACTCTAGTTTGTCCATACAGAACCCTCCACACTCTTCCCATAAATCAATCCCAAAGGCTCCTCCACCTGTTCAAGTGAATGATAGTGGCCCCCTCTTTGGTACCAACTTTCTGTATTTCTCAGCTAATCAGCTAGCTGGCTGATAAACAGAAAAGGGATTGCAGGACATGGTTCTGAAGCTGTGCAGGTGTCCAGCCCTACATGGGTGTCCAGATGCTTTGGTCATCTACTAATGATGCCAGATGATGATGGTGGGGAGCATGCGTGGAATAACTACTTACACCAGGAGCTAAAAAGCAGAGGGAGGGAGAACGGGCCAGAGTTCCATAGCTCCCTTCCAGGGTGTGGTGGCTAATCTTGGTTGTCAACTTGACCGAATCTGGAGTCAACTAAAACACAAGTCACTGGACACACCTATGAGGGATGTTTTGAATGGAGTGTTTGAGGAGGGAGAACTACTCTAAATCTTGGCCACACCGTCTGGTGGCAGCTCACATACAAGGACATGGAAGAGCTTTTCCTTTTTGCCAGCCTCCCCTCACTCTCCATATCAAGTTCGTCTATTCTTCCGCTGAGTCATTCCTCTGTGTACTGAAGATCAACCGCTCTTTAAGAATCCTGTGGGATTCCAGCACCAGGGTGGGATTCTGAGACATCCAGTCTTGTGCACTAAACAACTGAGAGCCTCTTTGCATCAGAAAACAGCCACTGTTGAATTATCCACACCACAGCCTGTAAGCCGTTCAAACAAAACCCCTTTAAATATATGTGTTTCTTTGTCAAATATATATAGGGAATGACACAAGGACCTCCAATCATGCCACTTCCTAAAGAATACAACACCCAGAAGCACCAGTGTAGGGATAAAGACCTTGACACATGGACCTTTGGGGATGCTACCCATATTCAAATTGTAACTTCATTTTCTCATCCTCTCTAGAGGAATTGTGCTAGATAACTTAAAAAAATAGTATCCAATGACTCTCCTTTCTAGTGTGTAAGCCCTTGTACAGTTCCGTGTGTGTGTGTGTGTGTGTGTGTGTGTGTGTGTGTGTGTATACATGCATGTATAGGCCAATGTCATTCTTTAATAGATATCTTGTTTTGTGAGACAGGGTCTTTCACAAACCGGTGGTTCACTAATTAGGTTAGGCTAGCTAGACAGAAAACCCCAGGTATCTTCCTGTTTTCATTTCCCTGGGGATAGGATTACAATTATGTACCAACATGTCCAGATTATTGTGTGGGTGTTGGGGATTATCCTCCTTCAAAAGCTCTTGCGCATTCAGAAGAGTGTGGAAGGTGAGAACTGACTTCCAAAAGTTGCCTTCTGAGGGCCACATCCATAAGCTTGCACATCATAGGCATACACACAGTACACACACACACACACACACACACACACACACACACACACACACACACAATAGGCACACACACACTGTATTTCACCATGTATTCTTCTCACTGACTTTTAATTTCAGAAGTGAAGTATTTTCTCCTCCTAATAACAAGATGTTAGGTCAGAAGGTCCACAATCCAACGACTGCTGTTACTAGGGAAATGGCGCAACGGGGAAGTCGCTAATAAGATCTGTGGTGGTTCATCTAAACCAGAAGGCCAAGTGTCATGTAAAGGAAACAGCAAATGTTACCCCAGCTAGTTTTCCCACCGAGGAATCCAGGTCAGATTTCACAATCGTTTCTGAAAAGTTTGTGTCTTTCAAATGAAATCCAATCAACCAAAGGGGATTGTATTAGTCAGCCATCGAATCACTGGGACACAATAATTTCCATAATTGGCTTTGGGGAGGTATTCCTAATTTTGGCTCACTGTTTCAGAGGTGTTAGTCCATCACTAACTGGATGGTGGTCCACTAAAAAGTGGTCGGGAAGCAGAGAAAGAGATACAGAAAGGAAGCCAGGGCAACGCTCCCCTCATCTGTGACCTTTCTCCCGCCAGTCCCTGCATTGTGCTGTTGTACTATCTTGCAATAGTCTTTAGATTTTGAATCCATCAATGCATAATACCATTATTAAGTCAGAGCCTCATGATTTGATAGAAATGCTACAATATGGTGTCTGCCTTACTAATCCCTTAGGGGTGTGTGTGCGTGTGTGTGTTGTCTGTATACACATCTGTGCACTGTGGGTGTGCCTGGTGCCTCCAGAAACTGGAGTTATATATGTTTGTGAGCTGGGAATTGAACTCAGGTCCTCTGGAAGAGCAGTCAGTGCTCTTAACAATGGAGCCATCTCATCAGCCCCTTCTTACGTGTTTATTAATCCAAAAGACTGAAAACCAAGGTTAACTAATCATCACAGGAATGTCAGGAGACAAAATGACAAGGTATGCTTAGAAACTGAATTGGCTTCCACTTGCATTCTAGTGTTGGACAGTGTTTTATTCTATAAATAAACCAAAGGCTCCCCTGGGTGTGGGGGAACAGCTTGTTTATATAAGGATCCAGAATGGAAGTCATCAGGTAACTTTGAACATTGAAACACAACCCCCACCTCTACATTTCTAGTAACTGCCCAGATAATGTTGATACCGGGGATGGGAGATAGGACTTTGGGAACTGCAGTAGTTGAAGCCCCAGTGGAAAATTAATGTACCAGATCCACTGCAACAATGCGAAATCCATACTCTTAAAACCAAGGCACACCTCTAGAATGCACACATGCTCCTGCTTAATTTTACACAGATTTGTTTTAGCTTCGTGTGATTGCTGGTTTTAGTGACAACTTACCACAAATTAGAAACAACTGAGTAGGGAGCCTCATTGATCTGACTGTCTTAATTGATCTGAAAGAAGCTACCTTAAATGTGGGCAGCGTTTTTTGGTAATAGCTCCCCTCCAATTAAAAAGGGGGAGGAGCAGGGCAAAAGAAAGACTATTTCCCTTTAACTTGATTGACCTTCCCTCTTCCCCTTGCCACTGGCCTTGCTGCTTCCCTGACAGCAAAACCCAGTTATTTCCAAGCTTCCATTGTTAAGAGAGCACCAGGGACTCTCCACAAACCTTCCAGGTTTTTGTTGCTAGACTGGCACTGCTGAAGCACCCAGCCTTGTGGACATACCATCTACCTGGCTGCTTACTTTTTCAATGTGATCCAGCCACTATAGTCTGGCTGGTGAGGTATCCAGCTTCCAGGATGGAACAATTACTGGGCTATCAACCCCTCAGGAGTTCGACAACTTATTATTTTAATATAAGCTGGTTTCATAGATTATGTATTCATTTTATCAGGTCTGTTCCTCTAGAGGACCCTGGAAAACACACTTATTAAATGAAATTTATAGAGGGGTCATTATTTTGAACTAGGCTCTTGTCTCAGAGATCTACAAGATTAGACCAAGCCAGAATGGAGTCTCTCATGCTCAATGCCACTTAATCAAACTGGCTTTTGAAATACCCCACCCTTCCATGAAAAAAAAAAAAAAAAAGCACAGCAATCAATCAGAACAGGTAAATCCTCTCTGAATACAACTTGGAAAGCACTCATCTTTGTTTTGTTTGGCCCGTTCTTCTAAGGTTCATGACCTTTCAGCCGATACAGCCAATCTTTACTGCTCACCTTCGGGGAGCTCTTGTATTTCATAGAATGCGTTGCTGCCTAGATTCTTGAGTCATAATTAGCCAATTTGATATTTAAATTAATTTTTTTTCTTCCTATCTATATCTTCATGTTGTCAGTATTTAAACACCTATGTAAAGCTAGTTCGGTCAGATCATAACCTTTTTCTTTTTTATCCTCATAAATAATTGCTTCTTTAATTTACTAAGCTACACATATTCTTCAATTTTCCGATTTTATGTAGACGCTAACCTTATGTTACATAAAAGGACTTGTTCCAGGGAGGTGAAAAATAGCAGATTGATGAATGTCAGAGCCACAAGCTTGGGACAAATGCCTCTGCCATTAACTTCAAAGGAAACGTCAGTGATCTTCCTTTACCGGGTCGTTTGCACGAATCCCGTACCCTTGGGCGGCGGGAAGAAATTGGGCAGGAGAGCATGCTCCAACCGGGAGCATTCAAAGGGGCGGCCCACAGCGCCTGGTTAGTCCCGGGCCGACTCGCTGGGGGAGTGGGGTAGAGGGATGGGGGGAGGGGGGCGGGACTCGCGAGCCGGGACCACGTGACCACGGAGGCCGCGCCGCTCCAGGTCGCGCGATCCGCCGTCACATCAGCTTATGGCGCAGGCTGCTGATTGGCGGACTGCCGGCACGTGGGCGGGGTTCTGCTGAGCGGGCGGTGTCTCGGGAGTCTTCAGCTTCAGCTCCTGCTGGTGTAGCGGCGGCGGCGGCGTACCGGACGGCTTGGGCCCTGCAGGTAGGTTCCCTGTGCCGGCAGCTGGTCATCCGCGAGTGGGAGGACCTGCGTGCGATCGCGAGGGATCCCTATTTGCCGGGGGCTGGGAGAACATCCTCCGCACGCACAAGTGTGGCGGTCCCCGCTAGAGGCGCAGGTGGCTTGGGGTGGTGGCCGGGTGGGCACCTTGGGCCGAGGGGCCTGTGATGTGGACAGGGCTATTGCGGGGCAGGAAGGACACCGACTCCGGGAGAGCTGGGTCCCCGCCAGTGCTGGAGGTTGCCCGTTGTGGATCCCACATCCAGGTAGAGACGGGAAACGCTGGTGCTTTGCTTTGCAGTGTGCTTCTCCGGGAGAAGAGATCAGGTTGAGAACCTGCGCCTGACAATGACTGAGACCTAGTGAGAGTGGTGGGCCAGTAGTCACCGCGGTCTTGAAGAGTCCTGCGTACTTTAGCGTTAAAACAAAACAAACAAACAAAAACTCGCGTACACTGGCATCCCTGCTTTACTGTCAAGTAAATTCGAAGGTGGTCCAAGTGAAAACATGGCCTCACTGGAGAAGTTAGCAGTTTGGAAAGTGATTGGGGTCAAAACTTTGTGGGTTAGCTGAGTATGTCACCATCAGTTTTGTTAAAGTGCTTGATGATAAACAGCCGTATGACCCTTGATATCTTACTGGGATTTTTTTTTGGCATTCATTGTGTAATATGATTAGTGTGAAGAAGAACTCAGAATACCTTATTCATATGTGTGTCTTTAGAGAGGTAACAACGTGGAAGGAACAGGCCCTACATCACATTACTTACTCCTTACAAGGTTATTTAAAGTATTGCTGCCTTCACTGTCCTGTGTACTAAGATTATACACATATATACCTTGTAGACTTGTGAGAATTAGATGAAAGAACTTCTCCAATGTGGAAAAGTCAGATGAGATGTGGTGCGGGGAATCCAAGAGCTCAGGAGGCTGAAGCAGGAGAATTGAGGTTCCAGGCTGCAAGGCCAAGACCCTGGGTAATGGGGGGGGGGAGATTAATAATATGCAGGCTTTTTGAGAAATATATAAATGCTAACTATTGTTTCTATGTTTTTTATTTTAGTGAAGAAAAATACAATAGTTTTAAGTTATCTAAATATAGTGTATTTATTTACTTACTTATCTGATGCTGGGGAAGGAACCAAGACTTTGGACGTACTAGGCTGGAGAAATATCAGTGAACTACAGCCCCGCCTATTTAATTGATAATCATGTTTTGAAGGGGAAAAAAATGCTTCTTCTGCAAAGGCAGTATAAGATTTCTTGTGAACTTCAGTTTCAAGCAGTAATGCCTGGTTAACTGAGAGTTCACGGAGCCTCTGACTTTAAGGGACTTAACCCTTAATATTATATACAAAATTATATGAACATGTGGATGTTTATTACTGTATAGCATTTGATGCCAGTTAAATTGGGTGTTTTTGAACGATTAGTGGCATATACGATGGATATCAGAACACCTAACACTTAATGTAAATTAATTTTTTCCCTGACAAAGTGAGAGAAAGCATTTGTGATTCATCCTATAAGCAAAGGGCTAAGCCTCTTACTTAGTACATAAGATCGTAGCTGGGTGTGGTGCTGCAAACCTCTGGGTTAGGCTACTTGGAAAGTTGTGGAGGGTGGATGGCTTGAGTGATGGAGCTGGAGAGAGAGGAGGAGAGGTAGAGATTTTTAATGAAGAAACTAAAATGTCACAGGGGAAAGTGAGCAAAGGATTAAGATCCAGATCACCCACATAAAAAGTGCAATTTATTACAAATATATGAAGTTGTGCTCAGTATCACTCACGGTAGATAGGAATTAAATATGCACCAAGACTCCTATTGAGTTGAGGACACCGATCCCTGGGATTCTGGAGAAACAGGCACTGCCCCCCATCATTAGAGGGCACACAAAGCAGTTCCATACCTATGGAGAGCCGCTGAGCAATCTGCCCCAGGTTACGCACACAGTTTCTCCTTGAAAGCATCCTACTTGTAAAATACCGGAGCAGTCCCTGCTGCCAAGCCTGAAAGCCCGAAAACCAAACAGTTGCTTCTTTTTTTTGCCATAGGTTCAGCACTCGGACTCATCTGATGACAGGTTCTGACTCCAAGTGACTGACGTACACCTGTTGTTTCTTGGGTAACTTACCAGGTAGGTGCCTTCTGGCAGAGGCTTGCTTTTTTGTTTCTTCGTTAACTTTTGATTTACTTCCTTGTGCAAATGCCAAAAGTAGGTGAAGAGAGCCTGCTGGGTGGCAGCAAAGTTGAAACTGCTGTCAGTACCGCCCTGGATAGCATTGAGGGTGCTGCTGGTGTGTGGTGTGTTTCTGACACATCCTACTGAAAGAGACTCGGCTTTTGGACCGGCAAAGCAAACAGTTGACTTTTAACTGTAAATGACGACGGCCAAAATATTGCCTCGGAGAGAAAAATGAAATAGTAGCCATGTTTGATAAAATGGTCTTGACAGTAAAAAAGTAAATAGGTGTCACTAGTGGTTGCGTTGACCATGAAACCAGATGGCGTACATGCAGAACTGCTAATGCATATCAGTAGTTGATAGCAGCATTAAGAAGGCAAAGCTTGGAAATGAAGAAAGTGGCCAGTGAAAGATGTCTCAGAGTCTGGTGAGAGGTGCTTGGGAACTTTTCTTCTGCCTGCACATTCTTCTCCTTAACTTCATGTTAAAAAGAATGTTTACATCATTTTCTTTTTCTCTGCACTGTACCTTCAAGACAGCCTTTCTTACCAAGCAGTGTCGTGCTTAGAAAAGCAAGTGTTTATATACTGCCCCATTATGTAACATAGGCTTGATCATCATAGTGTCCTAGAATAGTTTGTCCATAAAGAACTAGTCTCAAAATTGCTTACTGTGAAATAGGGTTGGTAGATCAACATTAATAAATGCTTGCTAGGGCTGGAGAGATGGCCTCAATAGTTAAGAACACTTGCATAGGACCAAATTCGGTTCTCATCAGGCAACTTGCCATCACCTGAAACTCCAGCTCCAGGGGAGACAGTATCCTCTTCTGGCTTCTGCAGGCACCTGCACTCATATGGCATATATTTAGGTAAACATATCCACATAAAATAAAAGAAAAAGAAATGTTTGCCATATGAGCAGACAGTGATAAGCCGGCAGATAGTTGGAATATTTTTCTTTCTTTGTGTATGTGAGTGCATGTGTGTGTGAGTGCATGTGTGTGTGAGTACATGTGTATGTATGTGAGTACGTGTGTGTATGTCAGTGTGTTTGTGTGTGTGTGTGAGTGAGTGCATGTATGTGTGCATGTGGAGGTCAGAAGACAACTTTAATCGCTGTCCTGGGTACTTTCCATTTGTGTTTGAGATAGGGTCTCTCAGTGGTCGAGATTCTCCTAGGTAGGCTGAGCTAGCCAACCAGAAGTTCCAGGGTACTCCTGTGTCTCCCTCCCATCTTGCCTTCAGTGGGATTATTTAGACAAAAGCCACCGTGCCCTGATCTTCACCAGGGTTCTTGTTTGCAAGGCAGGCACTTGGCTGACTATGCCATCTCCCTAGCCCAAATGAAGGATAGGCCAACACAAAAGACTTAACCTCATGAGGGTATGGATAACTCAGGGGAGGTTACCCTGGAAGAAACGCTGCACATTGATCATGTTACTTCTGGTGGCATGATTGGGAAATGACTGGAAGGTTTTTAAATGGGTTCACTTGAGGATAGCATGACAGTAGGAATGGCTATGTTGTGAACCCTTATGGGAAAATTGCTAAAGGTATTTGTGGTAGTAGCTTAGGGTGATAAACACGGGAGAAGAAATCTTATCAAAGGCATCTTGCTATGTTGCTTCATCACTTGGGAATCCTCACCTTGCCATGTGATTAATATCTAATTTCAACACTGTATGACATGAAGAAGTCAGCCTAGGGATAATCTAATCAATACTCTCTTCTGCTGCCAAAGGTGGCACCTGGGGAGGCTGGTGGCCACGTCTGTGCGACATAAGAGTGCTCTTATACAGAAACTGTACATAGAGCTTTTCTGGAACATTGTAGAGATGTGAGGAGTGACTATATAAGTTGCTCTTAATCTAGAAACTGTACATAGAGCTTTTCTGAAACATTGTAGAGATGTGAGGAGTGACTATATAAGTTGCTCTTAATCTAGAAACTGAACATAGAGCTTTTCTGGAGCATTGTAGAGATGTGAGGAGTGACTTGCCACACACTTGTCCTGCAGGGGCTGCAATGGACCTGGTTCTCAACGTTGCCGATCACTACTTCTTTACTCCATATGTGTACCCAGCCACGTGGCCAGAGGACAACATCGTCCGGCAAACTATTAGTCTCCTGATTGTCACCAACCTGGGTGCTTATATCCTCTACTTCTTCTGTGCAACCCTGAGCTATTATTTTGTCTATGATCATTCATTAATGAAGCATCCTCAGTTCTTAAAGGTAAGAGATTTTCTAGCTTCTGTTACCTTAAAAATAATTTTTCAGTTTAACTGGTTATATGTTAATAAAGTTTTTGAAAACAGCTCCCTGAAACGGTTGGATGTTTTTTATAAGGGTTAATCACCTCTTTCCTTCTTATATTCTAAATAATAAGTGGATCCCGTTTTTCTGTTAGCCTGGAAATCTTACTTCCCCATGTATGTAGATGAGAGTTACTTCACTGATACGGATGAATAAATCTATGTGTGTAGTTATTGTGCTTATGTAAATATTTTACTCTCTGGCTTTTGCAAGCTGAAAGGTATTTTTACCAGGTATGTTTTTCCTTGACTGAGCTGGGGATTCAAGTCTAGCAGCTTGGAGTAATTTTCTGTGACCGCCACTGGTATTTGTCAGATAGTCCCTGGACTGAAAGGAGCTGGGGAAGGAAGTTCATTTAAAGATTATTCCATAAATAGAAACAATACAGATTTTGTGAGGAAGAGAGAAGTCAGAAGTAAAGGTACTTGCTGCTGCCTTTGGCTGGTATAAAGGAACACTTTTCTTGTTCTTTCCTGTGTATTAAAATTTCCACAGGAAAAGTTTAGAAATTGGCCTTTTAGTATAAAAGTGGGCCTTGGAGAGTGGACTCAACAGTTAAGAGTTCATATTTCTTCTGCAGAGCACCCAAGTTTGGTACCTAGCACCCATGTTGACAGCTCACAACTTCCTGGGGTCTTCTTGCCTCTGTGGACATTGCACTCACATGTACATGTGTCCACATGCACGCACGCACACACACATACACATGTGTGCACCTACACATACACATATTTAAAAATAAAATGTGAAATAAAATCTGAGGAAAAGAGACTTGAGGGTTGGAATATAGTTCAGTGATAGAGCTCTTGTCTGACATGAGCCAGAGTTCAAGTAAAGACAGAAAATATTAAAAAATCCTTCCCAGTCAACTTTATGACAGTTTTGTTGGACAGATGTTATGACTTTTAAATAACTGGAACTTTCCTCTTCAGAATCAAGTCTCTCGAGAGATCATGTTCACGGTCAAGTCTTTGCCCTGGATAAGTATCCCTACCATTTCATTGTTCCTGCTGGAGTTGAGAGGTTACAGCAAGCTCTATGATGACATAGGAGACTTTCCAAGTGGTGAGCAGATACTGGGAGGGTCTAAGTACAAGTTAGTAGAACCCCCATCTGTTGTTTGTTCTTCATTCTTTGTTCATTTGTGTGTGCATGTATGTTCATGCATGTAACAGGCCAGAGGACTACCTCAAATGTCATCTTCAGGAATACCCTTTACCTCCTGGGTTTTTGTTGTCGATTTTTGTATGGTGAGGGGATAGGGTGTTTGGGGTTGTTTGTTTGTTTGTTTTGAGCAGAACCTCAGTAGACTGGCCTGGCCTGGAGCTTACTTAAATAGAGCAAATAACATAGAGATCTATCCGTCTGCTTCTTCCTCCCAAGTGCTGGAGTTATAGACCAAGTCTAGACAGGTTCTCTCATTGGCCTGAGTTTACCGTTGGTCTGCACTGGCTGGCCAGCTACCTCCAGTCTGTTTCTACCTCACCAGTGTTGGGATTCTAAGTCCACATCCCCACATCCATCATTTTTTATGTGGTTCCTAAGGATCAAACTCAGGTCCTCGTGTTTGTGAGACAAGCACTTTCCTGATTGAGCCATCTCCAGAGCCTGCCTGCATTCATCCCTTCTCTCCTTCCCTTTCCTTCTTATCTCCTCTCCCCATTTTCCTTTTCTTTCTAGACAGAGTCTTGCTAGGTAGCCCAGGCTGGCTTTAAGTTTGCAAAGTGGGCCTCCATGATTGTCTTACAGTTAACTTTCTTTAAAGCACAAGGTGCCTCTTTCTCCTTTCTTTCAAAATGCCCAGGTGTTTTGACTCTTGTGCTTTTTTCCATTCTTGTCTCACCACACATGTGGACTTTCCTAACTTCACTGTCATTTTTAAAGTCAATTTTGGATGACATTGTGCCTAAGGGAATACTGATCAGGTTGAGCCTTTGTATTTATTTCAAACTGCTGGGAAAGTAATTCCAGTAGTATGTGAGAGTTACTAAAAGTCACAGTAACTGCCCTGCTACCCAGAAACTAGGAGTCATTTGTCATTTGTCCATATGTCTGTCTTATCCTCCCTCTCATCTGTGCCTGCCTGCTTCCTTGATTCCATTGCAGAAACGAAACACCACGTATGCAGTTTGCATTCTGATGGTTTTAATACATGTGGTCATGGTAGTTCATTGCATCTCTGTCCATAATTGAGAAATTGGCCCTGACAGCTTTAGATTTTCTTTTTTTTTTTTCTTTTTGGTTTTATGAGACAGGGTTTCTCTGTATTGTTTTGGAGGCTGTCGGTCCAGCCTCGAACTCACAGAGATCTGCCTGTCTCTGCCTCCCGAGTGCTGGGATTATAGATTTTCTATTTTTAAAGGTGGTCTTGCAGCGATGTGACCTCTGTGCAGTTCTGAAGTTCCTTCAAGACCCGTTCCTGACATCTAGAGTATTATAGGAAGGCAGAGTAGCATTCACCGAGATTGACAGGTACCAGCAGCAGCCAGCAGCTCTGCAGAGTAGGTCTTGCTACTGGGCTGCTTTATGAGGGGTATATTAGGGAAGAAAGCATTGAGAACCTGCCTGTGTGCTCAGCTAATAGATGATGGGCCTGAAACTTGACCCCAGCTTGCTGATACCAGAGCTGTGCTCTCAAAGTAGGAGGTGCTTAATTAGAAGAGGCTTTGGCAATGAATGAGGGAATGAGCAAAACCAGGGACATGTTGGGATAGTGTGAGCCCGAGTCTGCAGTAAGATGCTGTAGGCACGGGGGAGGTTGAGTGTATCAACCTGGTTGGAGCAAAATCTCAGGAGGATGAAGCTGGAAATATTTAAAAAGGGCTCCCAATGGGGTAGGTTTCTAGAGTGAAGGTATTTAGTGTGAAATTAAGTTCCAGGCAAGGAGGTAGTGCATAAAGATAGGATTTAAGAATGCTAATATAAAGGAAAGCAGTAAGAATGTCCTTTCTCATGGATGTCTTTGTAGTTTAATTAAGTAATACTTGTACTGGAAAGATGACTCAGCAGTTAAGAGGCCCTGAGTTCAGTTCCCAGCACCCACATCGGGTAGCTCACAACTGCTAGAAACTCTAGTCAGAGGGGAACGAACCAGAACTTTCACATGCACAAGCACATGCATACACATAATTAAAAGTAATAAAGTTGATAGCTGGGTGGTGGTAGTACACCCCTTTTATCCCAGCACTTGGGGGAGGGGGTAGAGGCATGCAGCTCTCGGAGTTTGAGTCCGCTGTGGTCTACAGAGCAAGTGCCTGGACAGCCAGAGCTGCATAGAGAAACCCTGTATTGAAAAACTAATCAGCAACATAATAACATTAAGTCATAAAAAAGAAATGAAATACTACATAGGCCATTTTTATGGTTTTGTATAGCAGTTCAAAATTTAATTAAAGTTACAAAATTAATGAAAGAACATTCCAAGCTGTTAGGTGAGGGTTAGTAGGGATGGAAGTGATTCTAGGTAGTAAAGGGAGATGACCCTCTAATGTGTTGAGCATGCTTGAGTGTAGGATCTCCGTTTGCATTTATGTGGACATGTGGAAAGGGAATACTGATTGTGGAGCGAAACTTTGACTCCTGATCTGTGTGGTCTCTTTTAGGCTGGATTCATCTCATTGTTAGCGTGGTATCATTCCTGTTTTTCACAGACATGCTGATCTACTGGATTCACAGGGGCCTGCACCATAGACTGTTCTACAAGGTAGACTCATTTAAAGGGGAAACGAGGGGGAAGATACCACACACCTCAATATTATAAAGTCTGTACTCTAGAGTAAGACTTTCTCTTGCCTATATTAAATGCCCAAAAAGCTTTTCTGGTCATCACTCATCACAGGCCCTGTATGTATTTTATTTATAGTTGTCTTTGTGGGTCTGGAGTGCCTGTCTTACAATTTTAACCTTGCGGGTAAAGAAGGAGTGACGTTGCCAATTCTAGTTAGGGCATATCTGTACCAGGAGTGGAAGCTAAGTTTGCACATGGCTCTAACCATATCCTTTTCCTCCTCAGCGCATACATAAGCCTCATCATATTTGGAAGATCCCCACTCCATTTGCAAGTCATGCTTTTCACCCTGTGGACGGCTTCCTCCAGAGTCTCCCTTACCATATATACCCGTTTGTCTTTCCACTACACAAGGTGGTCTACTTAGGTTTATATGTCTTGGTTAATGTCTGGACAATTTCTATTCACGACGGTGATTTTCGTGTCCCCCAGATATTAAGGCCATATATTAATGGGTCAGCTCATCACACAGACCACCACATGTATTTTGACTATAACTACGGACAGTATTTCACATTGTGGGATAGAATTGGAGGCTCTTTTAAAAATCCTTCCTCCTTTGAAGGGAAAGGACCACTTAGTTATGTGAGGAAGATGGCAGAAGGAGAATCCAACGGCCTAGCAGAAAATGGCTGTAAAAATGAAAAATTGTGCAATGGAGAGTTTGCAAAGACTAAGTAGACTATTGCCCAATTATTAAATATTTTAAATAAGGAAATAATCTCCACACAGCCAAGATACATAGCAACTAGGTGGTGTCATTTGAACGTCAGCATTGTGTGTCATGCTGAAGAGCAGTCCTGACGATAAGCTGAGGGAAGATACTGGGAGCACCAAGATTGTAATCTCATGGCTAATGTGTCAGACATTGGTTCAGGGACAACTTGCATCTTTGCAGCCAGCAGATCTGCAGCCTGTACAGCCCTAACAACAACTTTAAATAAGACAGAAGATGAGCTATGGAAGAAGCTGGTCTGTGTCCTTTTGCCTTAATCCACTCATATCCATTAAGGGAAAAAAAATCCATTGTGCTTAACAATACTGAGACTAGCCAAGAAATACTAATATGAAGATGGCTCCTGTCCAGGAGTGGCTGGCTTTGCAATGGTGGTGGAGGACTTGCACGACTTTGTTCAAATAGAAACATCAGCCTGAACAATCTAATACATGAGTGGCTATGTATGTGATTTACATAATGGCTGGTTAATAAGACTATATTATCTTATACATAGGCGCCTTACTCTCTGGGGGCATTATCAGATTTTAATAATGAATAAATAAATGGTAATTTTTTAAATGTCAGCTCTTCCATATTCAATCCAGATATGAGATTGTTTAACTAAAGGTCTTGATGCGTGTCATTTAAAACTACTGTTTAATAAGCCTACAGACATGAATCTGGATAATGCTAGATAAAAACTTGGGGCACCTAGGTGGCACATCTCTGTTTAATAAAGTGGATGCACTGTACTTATGTATTTCCAAGTTATAAAGCTGACTTTCTAAATGAAGGGAATAATTGCCAAATACTTAAGTCTACCTGAGATACACTTTGAAACCTCATCCTTCATTTCTTCCCTCTCTTCCTACTGCCTCTGCAAAAGCAAAAATCTCACAAACACCCCCATGAAGAAAGGTGGGTGCTGTAAGATGAATATGTTGGTGTAAAGATATTCTATTGGCTGTTTATACAAAAACTAATAAAAGTTGATCATGACTGCTATTAACCACTTAAATGTTATAGCTCAAACTATCCTTCGTTTAAATTAGTGTCAGCGAAGACACAGAGGTGATGTGGATTGTAACAGTCGAGAGCATCCCTGATACCCAGGGTCAGACTGCTGGATCTGAGTGTTGCTAAGGATCTTTCGCTCAGCAAATCCTTTTCCATTTACTAGCTGACATTATCAAGTGCCCCTGAGGGAGTGGAAATGGGAAATAAAGAGGCTCTGTGTAAGGATCTAGACTTCCTTTTCCCTGGAAGTATAACCCACCAGGACCTGGGGTTCTGAATCCATAAGCATAACTAAGATAAGGACTGATTGGCATGTTGGATAAACCCAATACCCAACTCGTAGCAGTGTGTTGTGGATACAAAAGGATCCTAAAGATACACTGTTTGATATTACATCAAGAAAGGACAAACCCTTCAAACGGGACAGCTCTGTCACCCCTTCTCCCCAAGGCTCAGGGAGCATCAAGGAAGAAGCCAAGGCCAGGGAAGAATGCTGTAAGACTGGACGTGAGGGGCCATTGTGCAACTTTGTCCGTCTACACACCATTCAACCAGTGAACGTTCAGATGGATGAGGTGGAGGGGCTCCCAAGGTCCCACCTCTGGCTGTAGAGCAGTTGATGGCTGCTAGGAAGGGAGACTCAGTTTGCAGTGGTGCAATCTCTAAGTTGCTTTTGTGCCAGTGGGTGGCCCTGCACTCCTGAGGCTAGGGGCAGCTCTAGTTGGACTCGGGCTTATACAGAAGAAGGAAAAGAGGATGTGAAATTGGGAGAGGGCTAGGGGGTGTCTGGGGGAAGTTGGGCTGGGGAAAGTAGAGTGGCTATGATCAAAATGCATTGTGTGTGTGTATGAAATAAAGATTAGCTAAATAAAATTTCAGAGACAGAACTGAGAAGTTAACCTTCAGCTTCACCCCAGGCGTTATTGCTGGGAACCTTGGAGTTAGGAAGAGTGAGTCACAGCAAGTACCCTTTCCATCAGGGATGAGCCACTGCTCCCCAGTAGGATCAAGGGCAGAGAATGGTGGCCTCTGCTTCCTGACTGCAGTGATGATCATTGTTGGTCTTCTGTTGAGTCCTCACTGGGAGGATGGTAGAGGAGGCCACTTTCCCCTTCACATTGGACTGTGAAAAGCATCTGATGAGTTACAGGAATGTGTAAGTAAAGTTGAAAACAAGACATTGCTCATTGTGAATTCTCTTTAATGAGGTAAAATAGCTAGTGTTTTGTGATTGTAGCATTCTTTTTAAAAATATGTCATAAGCCAGTCTATAGTAAAATTTAGAGAAAAATACAATCCTGCCCCCCCACCCCCAATAGAATCAACTTCTCAAGGACAGGAATTGTATGATCCAGATGTTAGGGGGTTTACCACCAGGGCAAGGTCTGGTATCAGAAGAAAAATATTCATAAAAAACTTGTTTTAATAAATAATTTGCTTTGTGATATTACATTAAAGATAATTGTCTGGAGACTAGGATGTAGCCTAATGGTAGAGTGCATCTTGGCGTGTCTGAGGCCCTCAACTTACTCCCCAGCCTGGCAAAAATGTTTTCTCCCTAAATCTCTCAAGTCAGGTTGAAGATTTTTATTAATTCTAAGTGCAATAGACCTTAAAAATAAGTTATAAGTTCTATGCTGGTTTCTTTAACAGTGAGCTTCAAAGTTGAGCCTATCAAATTCTCCTGAACATGTAACCATTTGTCTTTTTATAATGAAATTTTCTCCAATTTGGTAAGAGACTTAACATGTTGATTCAGTCCCCTGGTTGGACTTGTGTTTGGGTACCTGGGCAGAGTCCCAACACTCAGATGTCACCACCAAACAGTGGGATGGTGTCAGAAGTTAGTCATTTGACTTGAAACCATCCGTGCCCTCTTGAGGAGCCAGCTTACCTCATAGGTTTCTGTTAATCCCCTCCATTATTTATGTCTATTTCTCTTAATACTGTGATTCATTTGGCCGTTCTTTTGGTGAAAAGTTGACCCCCTGACATGCTATAAAGAAACAAACAGAAGCTTAGCGCACATTCAGCTGGAAGGCGGCCTTGTGCTAGCGGTTCTTGTTTGCAGCTCCAGCATTGGGTGCTCCTTGCTTTCATACAGTTGCATAACCTGTCCTAACTGTGCAGTTCAGCCTTGACATTTGCGTATCAATATTACCACCACCCCCAGGCACGACAGAAGTGTCCTTCACCAGAGTGTGCACTGTTCCTCTCCGCAATCTCCCACCCCCACAGCCTCGATACCGCTTATCTACTACAGTCTTGGAGATTAATTTCGTCTGTTTTAGAATCTCATGTAAATTACATTAGATGAGATATACTCTATGTGTTGAGCTTTTTTTTTTTAGCTTAACATGTTTTTGTGCATGTTGTGTTGTATTATCAATAGTTCATTCCTTTGAATTGATGAGTATTATTCCTATTATGACATTATACTAAATAATATACTACTGTTGGCTAATCTGTGTATCTGTTGGTGGCTATTGGGTTATTTACAATGTGGAAATATTTTGAATAAAGCTACTACAGACATTTGTGAATGGATCATTGTGTGGACTTGTGTTTTTATTTCATTTTTTTTTCTTTTTTTCTTTTTTTGTTTCTGGAGACAGGGCTTGTCTGTGTAGCCTTAGCTGTCCTTTCACTTCCTTAATGTCTTATAAGGAAAAAATGTTGACCTTAGGTTAATAACAGCTTAACAGCTTTTGTCTTTCCTTGTTACTGCATTAATGTTCATCCTAAGGCATCTTCACCTCTCCCAAAGTGTGCCTGGACACTGTTATTTGGGGTTTTTTGTTTTTTGACAAGATCTCACTGTGTGGCCCTCACTTACTTCCTTTCCCTTCCCTCGCAATGGTTCAAAGTTCATTCAGTTTCAGGGCTGTGACTAAGGTGAGGCACATTCTCCTCCATTTGAGGTGTGACCTCTAGTGGACTGGTGAGCTCAGAAATTTCAGCCACGGTCATGTAGCTTTGTTTGGGCTCTGGCCAGGCAAAAGATCATGCCAGGGAGCCTGTAGGGAGCAAAAAACACACAGCAAATTCAGTTATTTTAGTGACCGAAGACTTTTTAAGTTGTGGGTTATTTTCTTTAGATTTGATGTATTATTTTCCAAAAATCTGTTCCCTTTGTTTAAGGTGTTTGTGTGTGTATGTGTGATCAATAGATACTTGGTTTGTATGCCTATTTTATATACCTCTAAACTTGAGGCCACATAAGGACTTCTCTGGTGGAGAGGGGCTACAAGTTGAGAAACTTGGAAAGTATTGACTTAGTTCACATCCTAAAATGAGGTCAATGCAGAAATTTTGCAGAGATCTGCTCCCCACCCTTCCCTACCCTCCTGAGGACCCACACTCATCTCTGGAGGATGAAACATTTAATCTGAATCTCAATTTCTCTCCCCCCTCTCTCTCTTTTTCTTATAAATGTAAACATTTGATGCAACCAATTTCTCTCAGGACTGCTGAGGCTGGGGTTCACACATTTTTATTCTTGACTTGAGATTTCCATTCCAGGGGGTTTCCCTCTTCACCCGGAGGTATGGTGGTCATGCGTAGCTTCCTCATCTGAGCCACGGCTGTAGTGGCCACAGTGATTTTCCTGGTGGCACCCTGTGGTCTCATGTGAGACTTAGGTGGACATGTGGCAGTGGCCTTCTTTAGATCTTGGGAAGATGAAGCTGTTTAGAAAACACCCCACCTGACTGCCGTTGCCACATCCCTTGGCTGACCCCACCACACCACATTTCCTGTCTCATCCTCTCCAGCTTCTCCAAATTCTTCACTACAACAGTGAAGGGCCCTGAGGTCTCACCTCAAAGCTGAGGTTTCCTGACACCAGAGAGGTGACTCAGGTTAAGAGTGCTTGCTGTTCTTTCAAAGTCAGGCTACTTAAAACTGCCTGTAACTTCAACTCCGGGGGATCTGTGGGTACTTGCAAGAGAATGTTCACACACATAAATAAAAAAGTTAAGAACACTGTATGTTGAAGCTTTGGGGATGATAAAGGATCTGCGCAACTTAATCCCAAATTCCAGCTTGTCTCCTCATCGTGTTCATTTTTCCTTCCTGTCCTGCTCTGTGCCTCTGGTTCCCACCCTACAGCCAGGAGCTTTGACTTGTCCCAGTCAATCCTCACTGCTCTGATCCACACTGATGAAGGGTTTCACCCTGAAACAGACTCCAGAGGTCAGCACTTTCAGAACCGTTCCTCCCTGTACTATGGGTTCCCTGACATGATTGAACTAAAGTCACCCACACTCTTTCCCAGTCATAGGGATGTTGGACGTTCATGATAGGCAACAGCAAAACAGCTACAGCTCACCTATGGAGGAGGGCCTGTGAGACGGCTCCCTGGGTAAAGATGCTTGCTACCAGACATGACAACCTGAGTTCTTTGTCTAGGATCTAAGCGGTGCCAGGAGAGAATCACCTCCCATGAGCTGGCCCCCCCAAACAGACAGACAGACAGGCAGACAGACAGACAGACAGACACACACACACACACACACACACACACACACCACACATACACCAGAGTTTTTTTTTTTAAGATCCCCTATGGGTATCTATATAGTGCTTATAGGAAAAGCTTTAGAGGAGCAAGTTCTTACTGCATATAGCACTTCAGTGGAAACAAAGTGACAGGGTTGGCTGGTTGCCCCTAAGAATGCTAAGAAGCTTAAGCAAATAAATGATGAACCTTTAAGTCCCAGTTCAGGGCCTAGTTAAGACACCCCAAAACTTCAGGAACTTTGCTAAACTAGACCCATGTCTCCTGTAGTTTGCAAGCCCAGGCTTTCAGAAAACTACCTCAAAGTGAAGCTGTGCTGAGAGCAAGTTGGACTTGATCTCACTGTATCTTTCATACTAGAGCTACGGCACTGATTGGTGCAGTGGTTTGAATGGAATGACCCCATGAAGTTGCAGACATTTGAATATTTGGTCTCCAGTTGGTGGCTGTCTGGGTAGGCTTAGGAGGTATGGCCTGGCTGGAGGAAGTATGCCACTTGGAGTCATAGCTCTCTCTGCTTCCTGTTTGTGAATGAAGAAGTGAGGTTTCGGTGTGCTCTTTGTCATGCCTGCCACCATGTTCCACAGTGTGGTGGGGATAGACTCATCCTTCTGGAACTGTGAGCCCCAAATAAACCCTTTCATAAGTTGCCTTGGTCACAGGGTTTTATTGTAACAATAGAAACCCTGACTCAAGCAGTTAGGAAGGAGTAAAACTTAAAAGTGGTAATCTGTATGAAGCTGGGAACACTGCTCACTTCTTCCCCTCAGTGAGAGATTCTGTTGAAGGAACAGTGTTTTGAGGTATGACTGTTTAGCCAAAGGAGACATAGTGTAAAGTTGAGGAGCGTTCAGGTACTGGTTCAGTGCTCATGGTTAGGGACTGAGCATCTCTGACACTGTATGTAACTCCTGTGTCAAAGGCCCATTTTGTGTGATCATGCATCACCTTTGCCTTTTAAAAAGTCAACTCCCCTTAGGGGATGAGGCTCTTCAAGCTCTGTTCAACTCCAAGCTTCTGTCCTCATGTGAAAATCCCCATGATTCAGTCATGGGGTGAGTCACTAGATCACTAGCATCTTAACCATTCTTTGATGATCTTTTATAGATTCACATCAGGGGAAGTTCATGTAGGACCCTGATGTTGCAAGCTCAAATTTCTGTTTGCAAAGGAGCAAACCATGCAAAGAGACCAGGTCCATTCCTCAGTATGACATGATGAATTCCTAAGCTTGAATGGTAACCTTTGAGAAGGCCAGTTCCTTGTAAAGAAATGATGGTTAAGATCTGTTGTCAAGGGGCAGAAGAGATGGCTTAGTGGATAAGAACACCAGCTGCTCTTCCAGAGGTCCCAAGTTCAATTCCCAGCAACAACATGTTGGCACACAACTATTTGTAATGAGATCTGGTGAAGGCATACATGCAGACAGAACACTGTATACAAAATAAATAAAAAAGAGACAGGTATCTAAAAAAAAGATCTGTTGTCAACCTGGTGGGCTCTAAAATCATCACTGAGTCAAGCTGAGCATGCCTGTGAGGGAGTGCCTAAATTAGGTTCACTAGGGCAGAAAGACCCTGCTTAGTTGGCTACACTATTCCCTGGGCTGGGATCTTGAGTAAAGAGAAAATGAGCCAAGCATAGTATTCATGGTTCTCTGCTTCCTGACTGTGGATAGAATGTGACCAGCCAGCCTTCTGTTCCTGCTTCCATATCTTCTCTGACTACTACCATGTCTCCCCTCCGGCGATGCAATGAGCGCCTTGAACTGAAGCCAGAATAAATGTCTTCCCTTAAGTTGCTGCTTGGTCACTGGAATGGGGAAAGCTGCTAAACACAGTTACTACACTGGTGAAAGCCTGGCTCCTATTGCGATGTTGGTTGGCAGTGCTGCAGCTGTGAGAAAAGCCGTCCCTCAGGAGTGAGCTCACTCAGTGACTACAGGTAATCCCTTCACGATTCCATCCCTGGTTCCGTTCTATAGGAAGCTCAGGAGTTCTCCATGCTTCTGGGTGAGGCGCTGGCTGGCAAGTTCCCCTTTTGGAGAGTCTAGCATCCAGGTACTTGAATAGTAACTAGAAGTAGGTATATGGGTGGCAGGAAAGGGCCTATGTTGGGCTAAGGTGTAGAACTTGGTGAGTGTGAACTCAAGTTCCCAGGGGGGAAAGCCAAGCTCACTGACTGATTACAACATGTGGGTTGTGGAGAACTGGAATGTTACCAGTCCACACCAAGTTATCTTGGGCTATCTTTAGCCTCCTTAACACCTCTTCACTACTTATCTATGTAATGTGGAAACAGACCACTAGCTTCTACCAGCCCTCAGGACAGGACTGTCATCAGATAGCCTGAGTCCTCTAAAACAGATTTCCTCACTTGGCTATGACATAACTTATCTGATGTTTCCACAGACATATTCTAAAAGCTCTTAATGTATGACTCTCTTTGTTCTGTTGCTATGGAAGCTTTATAAACTGTTGCCACGTTGGGGCACAGTATTTGTGGATTTGTGTTCTTGGACCACAGTCACTTATATTTAGTTCCAAAATAAATTCTCATTCTCTTTGAGGTGAGAGGTAGGAGTGAAGACTCCACATGGTGTGGAAGTGTTTCCTCTCTTCCTCTTGTCTTCTTTCCCAATCAATCAATCTTGAAGTCATCAAATGGGGTCAAGACAGGAAGACATCCATGTTAGAGAGAGCCTGGTGTGGGAACCACAGCCCCAACATACTGATGGGAGCTTTGAGCTCCATGTATCCTTCAGTATACTCGATCCATTCGCAGATAAGTAAGGATCTGTAGAATACACTAAAATGACCTTAGGAAAACAAGTAAGACAGACCCAGAGGTGCTACTCCCACTGTGATTGCCCAGGGTGCCCCTCTCTGAGGAGGTAACGTTGAACCCAACTCCTGGGAGTAAACAGAGTAGAGCCTGTGGGGGACAGAGAATTAGAACATATCCAGGGCAGGTCTTTGGTGTTCTTGAAAAAGAAGGAGGCTACCTTACTCTGTGCTCTACTGAACGGAGCTGGAAAGTTACAGGAGTGGGAGGCATTTATAAGGACAAAGACGAGTCCAGAAAGTACAAGATGGGTGGGTTCAGGTTGCCTGGGACTTGGACTACTGCGTGTAATACCTCTGAGTGAGAGCATTTCATCGTGTGAGAGGCGTCACACAAGTGTTGTATTCTTAGTCAAAGAAGTTGGTCTTAGTGTGATCCCTGTGTAGCCATGGATGGCTAATCTGCCTCTATGGGTCTTTGTCTTCCTCTGGTCGTCAAAAGAAGAGCCAAATTTTATATCTCCATAACCCACGAAATATTGACTATATGAAAAAATAATTGCGGAGAGCAATTTTACAGTTCCTCTGAAAGGTTAAGCTAAGAACACACGTGGAATCTTGGGGGACGGTCTCTGAAATGTGTTCTTTCTGGCGGGGTTTTCTCCCTTGCTTTTGTCTGGGTTTGGTCCTGTCCCCCGCTGAAGCGGAGCACTTCCTAGAATCAGACTGTAGGTGGCGCAGTTAGGCTTTTCTCATGTTGCAGCCATAAAGGCGAGCGCGTCCACATTTCAAGTCTAGACAGAGGACGTGCACAGAATCATAAAACCTTCACACTGGAGGGATCCGGAAAGGTCATCTACTCCCTCTTTTGTCTTTAGAAAACCGGACTCCTAAATCAGCTCTCTGCTGTGCTCCTTTCAACCGTGGTTAAAGCTCTCTTGCTCCATGCTTGGCTCAGCAACATCCAAACCAGCAGAACAACAAATCCCCAATAAAATCCAACATGCACGTGTGTGCGCGCATCTTTTTCGTGGGGATAAAATTACACCGGTGGGGCTGCTGTAGGTCACCAGAGCCGCTTCCTCCCTTGTCATAACTGAGTAAAGGATTCTGTTTATCTGAGATGGGGATTCTTAGGTCCAGAGGTGAGTGCAGGATGAGGCTGAGAAGGATACCATCAAGCAAGTAGTATTCCAAACAGCAGGAATAAGAATAAGTAGTGCATATCTTTTCCCATTCTGTGGACTGCCTTTTTGTCTTGTTGACTGTGTCCTTTGCCTTACAGAAGCTTTTTTTTAGTTTCAGGAGGTCCCATTTGTTAATTGTCGATCTCAGTGTCTGTGCCACTGGTGTTATGTTCAGGAAGTGGTCTCCTGTACCAACTCGTTGAAGAGTATCTCCCACTTTCTCTTCTAAAAGTTTCAGTGTGGCTGGATTTATATTGAGATCTTTGATCCATTTGGACTTAAGTTTTGTACAAGGCGATAAACATGGATCTATCTGCAGTCTTCTGCATACCAGTACCCAGTTATGCCAGCACCATTTGTTGAAGATACTTTCTTTTTTTCCATCGTACATTTATAGCTTCTTTGTCAAAAATCAAGTGTTCATAGGTGTGTGGGTTAAAATTAGGGCTTTCAATTCGGTTCCATTGGTCTACCTGCCTATTTTTGTGCCAATACCAAGCTGTTTTCAGGACTATAGCTCTATAATAGAGCTTGAAGTCAGGTATGGTGATGCCTCCTGAAGTTCCTTTATTGTATGGGGTTGTTTTGGCTATCCTGGGCCTTTTGTTTCTCCATATAAAGTTGATTAATGTTCTTTCCAGGTCCTTGAAGAATTGTGATGGAATTTTGATAGGGATTGCATTGAATCTGTAGACTGCTTTTGGCCAGATTGCCATTTTTATTATGTTGATCCTACCAATCCAAGAGCATGGGAGATCTTTCCATTTTCTGGTATTTTCTTTGATTTCTTTCTTTAAAGACACAAAGTTCTTGATATACAGGTCTTTCACTTCCTTGGTTAACATTATCCCCAGATATTTGATGCTGTTTATAGCTATTGTAAAGGGTGAGGTTTCTCTTATTTCTTTCTCAGTCACTTCATTGCCTGTATATAATAGGGCCACTGATTTTTTTGAGTTTACCTTGTATCCTGCCACATTGCTGAAGGTGTTTATCAGCTCTAGGAGTAACCTTGCGGAGTTTTTTGGGTCACTTATGTAAACTATCATATCATCTGCAAATAGTGAAAGTTTGACTTCTTCTTTTCCTATTTGTATCCCCTTTATCTCCTTTTGTTGTCTTATTGCTGTAGCTAGAACTTCAAGTACAATATTGAAGAGATATGGAGAGAGTGGACAGCCTTGTCTTGTTCCTGATTTTAGAGGAATTGCTTTGAGTTTCTCTCCATTTAGTTTGATGTTAGCTGTTGGTTTACTGTATATTGCTTTTATTATATTCAGGTACGTTCCTGTTATCCCTGATCTCTCTAGGACCTTTATCATGAAGGGGTGCTGGTGATAGAGGGCTAATCTCCAAAATATATAAAGAACTCAAGAAACAAGTCTCCAAAACACCAAAGGATCCAATTAAAAGGTGGGGTACAGAACTAAATAGAGAATTCTCAATAGAGGAGGCTAAAATGGCCAAGAGACACTTAAGAAAGTGCTCAACATCCTTAGCCATCAGGGAAATGCAAATCAAAACAACTCTGAGATACCATCTTACTCCTGTCAGAATGGCTAAAATCAAAAACACCGAAGGCAATTTATGCTGGAGAGGATGTGGAGAGAGGGGAACACTCCTCCACTGCTGGTGGGAGTGCCGACTCATACAGCCTCTTTGGAAATCAGTATGGAGATTCCTCAGGAAAATGGGAATTAATCTACCACTAGACCCAGCAATTCCACTCTTAGGCATATATCCAAATGAGGCAAGTTCATACAACAAGGACATCTGCTCCACTATGTTTATAACAGCATTATTTGTAATAGCCAGAACCTGGAAGCAACCTAGATGCCCCTCAACTGAAGAGTGGATAGAGAAAATGTGGTACATTTACACAATGGAGTATTACTCAGCAGAAAAAAGCAATGGAATCTTGAAATTCGCAGGTAAATGGATAGCACTGGAAGAAACCATCCTGAGTGAGGTAACCTAGTCGCAAAAAGACAAACATGGTATGTACTCACTCATATATGGATGTTAGACACGGATCAGGATAGTGCCAGTCTGCACTTCCACTGATAGAGAGTCTGGGAAACAGGAAAGAACCTAAAAGATATGCATAGATACATAGTACCCAAGAGAAGAGGATTGAGACAAGATCCTCTGAATGGATGGGGAACACGGCAAGGGGTGGGGGGGAGTGGGAGCTGGGAAGAAGAGAGGGGGAGAAGAGGAAGAGAGAGTAGGTCATGGGGGAACAGGAAGTTGAGTGGGTGGGGGTAGAATAGGGGGAAGAGGGAATCATAGTTTAGAAGACAGTTCAGGCACCAGAGTGACCTCGAGTGATCTAAAGGGATAACACCAATTGGCAAGCTAAGCAATAGTGGAGAGACCACCTCGAATGCCCATTCCTGATAATGAACTTGATGTCTGTAACCATCCGGAAGCCTTCATCCAGTGATTAATGGAAGCAGAGGCAAACACACAATTAAGCGCTGAACTGAACCCAAGGAACCCAGTGACAGAGAGAGGAGTGATGAGCAAATTGGCAAATAATGGGCTGGCAAAACCAGCAGAGACAGCTGATCTGAACAGGGGAGAGCTCTTGGACCCCAGACCGACAGCGGGGAGGCCAGCATGGGACTGATCTGGACTCCCCAAATGTGAGTGTCAGCAAGAAGGCCTGGGCAACCTATGGGGCCCTGAGCTGTGGATCAGTGTTTATCCCTGGAATACAAACAGTCATCGTGTGCCTATAGCACAAAGAGGGATGCTCTCTCAGCCTGGACTCTTAGGGGAGTGCCTGGACCCTACCCAGAGTAAAATGACAGACTCTAGATATCCCCTATGTGGAAGGAAATGGCAATAGGGTGGGAGGCCGGGGGGGGGAATGTGGGAGGAGGGGAGGGAGAGGGAACTGGGATTGACATGTAAAACAAGCTATTTAAAATTAAAATAAAAAATGATAAAAGAAAAAAAAAGAATAAGTAGTGCAAGATTTAGAAAGAGGCAACATCTCTAACAGCTTGGAGAAGACCCGGGAGGAGGTTTTCAGAAAAACTGGTCTCAATTTTAGGGGGTGAAATGCCTCCACATCTAATTTTGATTTTCTAATTCATATGAATTTTTCTTGCTGTTTCTTTCTTTGTGGTGCTAGGGACAGGACCCAAGGCCTCACACATGTTAGACAAGTGCTAAATCTAAGAATTAATGATGCCGTGAGATACAGTGAACACTTTTGATGTCGAGGGAAACTCTTTTCATGATCACCTATCAATCTTACTATAGGCTTTGGAGTGTATATGTGGCTTCCCAGAAAGTCTGAAGGAAAACAAAATAGCGAGGAGTTATCTGAATCAGATGGTAGCTACGATGTTTTGATTAAATTCTCATCCTGTGTCTTATAGCAGCCAGCAGCACAGCTGTCTTTGGCAGTGGCAACTTCTTCCTCCATAATCTTATAAAATTGCCTAACGGTTGTGTGAAGACGCAGGAGTGAGCAGAGATGTGAAGAGACAGCGAGGTGTACCCAGTGTTTGTGCCGGGTACTGTTAGGAATAATGGGTGTGGGGGGCCTTGTCCGATTCTATGACATGCAAGGGACAGACATGCCAGGCAGACAGAGCTTAAGTGAGAAGGTTTATTAGAAAGGGAAGGGGGGGGAGGGAACAGAAAGAAGGGGGACAGAGAGAGAGAGAGGGAAGGAAGAAGAGAGAGAAGAGGAGGCAGGAAACGTCCTATCTGTCCCTTCAGGAGAACAGCTGGAAAGAGAGCAGAAGTGGGCAGGGTATTTTTGTTTTGTTTTTGTTTTTTTTTCATATTAAAGGGTCCTTTGCACTTGCTGCAGACTAGGTAGTGACAGCTGCCATGGATCCCTGGGCTGACCAGAGTATTGCCTGAGTGCGTTCTGCCAGGTGACAGGGCAGGCCAGCATACTGCCTGAAGCCTTACAGGTACAGAACCTGGAGGGTTGGCAGCATCAGGTTCACATGGGATGTTCTCTGAGAAGCTTGGAGGATGTTTATGCACTGACAGCAGGTTGAGGAGAGGACGTAGAGAACGCTAGACAGAGGCCAGCAGCTGCAGAGACTGAGAACAGTCTCCAAGGGAGATGTTAACTGTGGCGAGAAGGGGGAGTGGTTTTCTTTTTTTTTTTATTAATATTTTTTTTATTTTCCATTTTAAATTTAGATAAGAAACAAGGTTGCTTCACAAGTCAGTACGAGGTCCCTCTCCCTTTCCCTCCCCTCCTCCCGTGCCCTCCCCCCATCCCCCCCGTTATCCCTCATTCCCCCAGGGAGGGTGAGGCCCTCCATGGGGGTGTCCATAGTCTGTCATTTCATATAGGGCAGGGCCTAGACCCTTCCCCAAGAGTTCAGGGTGAGAGTGCACCTCACATTGTTCTATGGGAGTCCAGAGACCGTGTGTATACTTGGGATGGGTACTGATCTGCTGTCCAAGGCTCAATAGATTACCTAGGCCTCCTCACTGACACCCAGATTCAGGGGGTCTTGATCAGTCCCATGCTGGATTCCCAGGCTGATGCCTGGGATTCAAGAGTTAACCTTTGTCTGGTCAGCTGTTTCTGGGGGTTCAACCAGCCCAGTCTTAATCCCTTTGATCATCAGTCCTCCCTCTCTGATACTGGCTTTCTTGAGTTCAGCTCAGTACTTAACCAGCCAGTAAATGAAGTTTCTGTTTCCCAGACTCTCTGGCAATAGGATTGTAGGCTGGCACTCCCCAGATCTATGTCTAAAATCCATACCAGGGGAGGCTGGGAGGGGAGAGAGGGCACCTTTGACTTCGGTGGCAGAGGGCAGTCCCGTGGTAACTTTCGTTTTCTCTGTGAGTGTCATAGGTTCTAGGGGAACCTTCTCTTCATAGTCAAGGGTAAGTTTGAAGTCCCTGTTGAAGAGAGTTTTGTTTTTGTTTTTACGAGACAGGGTTTCTCTGTATTGTTTCGGAGGCTATCGGTCCAGCCAGGCCTCAAATTCACAGAGATCCGCCTGTCTCTGCCTCCCGAGTGCTGGGATTAAAGGCGTGCGCCACCACCGCCCAGCTGAAGAGAGTTTTTAAAATAGTATGTATGAAGTGGTGAGGGGACTAGAAATTTCTGAAAATGCCACTCATTTTTTGAAATTAAAATTTAATTGCATCATTTACACACACATACTTTTAAAACAAATCTTGGCAAATGGAGTTCATGACTGAGGCAGGATATAACTATTCCTCTCATTGTGAAAGATGTACCCCTGACACTTGATGGCGGGTACGCTAAAGGTAGAAGGTTAAGCTAAAACTTCATACCTTACTCTAATAAACATTTTATGATCAAACCTAATGGCGAGGTGAATTGAAACAATTCATTGGACATGGCCAGACTTAATTTTTCCTAAAACAAATCTAAACAGTTGAAGGAACACATAACCACTAATTGCAGAAGGATGACATGAAAATCTGATAGCTTAATAAATTTTATAGATCTGAATGATAATTAACACAATAACCTGAACTTAATTAGATACTTGTATTAAATGCTGGCAATAAGCAGCCGCTCTCCTTGGTATCCATTTTAAATGTATACGAAATATCACAGCATGGTCCAATAAGGGCAGACACAAATAGAGCTAATGACTTTTGGAGAAATTAAACAGGATAAATAAACCACACTGAATTCATGTGGAGCCTACCATGGGGGAGGGACAGGCACAGGAAAGCATGCCCTTTTCCTGGTCTCAGTGTCTCGGTGCAGGAATGCGGGATCCAGGGATCCAGGGATCCAAAACCCACAGAGTGAGTTCCTGGGAGGGCAACATCCTTTTCTGTGGTATTCTTTTGGAGAAGAGGAGCCCACAAGCCCTGGAGAAGGACCCATAAAGCAACAGGAAGTCTCCACCAAGAGTTCTGCTTGCAATAGCTCAGACTATAATTTTGTTTTTCCCCAAGCCAGGTTCATAGACAGGAAAGGGGGGGGGTGTGCTGCTTGAAGTCTACAGGAAATCCCCCATCCGGTTCTCCATGCCACCCCACCGACCTCTGTTGAGGTGAACTTGAAACTTAGGAAAGCTTAAGAAGAAAGAAGCTTCCCTACCATTTTCTCCCCTCCTTCCTCCTCTCCCTCTCTTTTCTCCTTCTTGTCTTTATTGTTGTGCTGGGGCTTGAATCATACCATACTACGCACACACTCTGCCACTGAGCTACAGCACATCATTCTGTGCAAATGTGAGAAACTGAGTTTGGAATCCCAGGATCCATATTTTAAAAAAAGAAAGAAAGAAAGAAAAAAGAAAAGAAAAAGATGGGTTTGCCAGCATATACCTGGAATTTCTAGTGATGTCAACCTCTGGTTTCCATATTCAACACAGACACACATGGGCATATACATATGTATACACCAAACACACGCATGCATGCACCCACACATGCATGCACAGATGGGTGAAATTGTGTTACTGTGTTTCCCTACATGGCCTCCAGCTCATAGGCTCAAGTGGGTCTCTACCTCAGCCTCTCTGGTAGCTGGAACTGCAAACGTGTGCTTTCATGGCCTCTCCCTTTCCTGTTTTCTTTTAAAGTCAGGATTCAACTTTATGCGTTTGTTAATTTACTTGCTTATTTTAAGATGCTTAGTTATGGTATCGCTGATACATAAGCCTCTGAACATATATAATGTGTACCATTGGATGAATGTATTACCACAATAGAGAAAGACACGGATGTCACTTTCAGCAACTATCCATGTCACCCATAGTCAAAACAAAGACATCCACTTCTCTGGTTCCTCAGGAATCACGAACCTTGAGTCAGATATGCCCATGCTGACCATCCTAAGGCTTTAATGCTCTGACTCTCCCTCCACCCCACCACCCCCTGCCATATTTCAAGCCAACACCCAGAGGCTGGCTAGCTGATGCTGGATATTGTTGGAGGACTCAACAGTGACCACCAAGATGGCTGCACTGTGACCTTCCTACTTTTCCTCACACTCTTGTGAAAATCCAGATGACTGTTCTTCCTGAGAGCCTCCTTATAAGTCCCGCCCATTGTGACTACTATGCTGCCCATCCCCCACTTTTTGAATCAAGCAGAAGTTGCAAGGCTCATTTGTGCTTGGTGTATGCAAGGGATGGTACCTTTGCATTTGTCTGCCGATTAACCCTGGGGAAGACTGGGCTAGCTATCCTTGTCTCTCTGTGATACAGCTTCAGAGCATACAACTCTCAATGAAGCCAGCCATTTGTAATGGGGAGGGCATCAGTGTCACACAGGACAATCCTGCCTTTGAACCTCACTTCTTGTCACTTACTACTTTTGAAGACTTGAAAAAGTTGTTACACTGCTGTAGATCTCATGTGGCCATCAATAAGATGAGATCACTAAGGCCTCAGCAGACTGTAACTTAGCTTGATGCAGAAACAAGATGGTGATCTCCCCTTTAACAAGTAGGGGAGTCTTAGCCAACTGCAGGTGTCAGTTGTTCATAGCACCTTCACACAGGAGAGATGGGAGGTGCATCCTGTATTTCTGGTTCTTTCTCTGCTATAAATATAATTACCCAGGTAATGGACAGGCCATCCATTATTGTATGGATTCAATGCATGGCAGATGGTGAGTCATCAGTGTAGATGTTAATATGAGTCTGAGACTCTGGTTTGCCTTTTGTAGTCATATAGGAACTACTACTGTTTTTTGACCCCACTCCATGTATTTCTTTTGTAGGTACCAATGGCTGAAAGTGACAGACATTCCATTTCTTCTTTAACTGGCAAGAAGAACTTTGTCTCCAGCTATCCAGCCAGAGAGGAGCTCAATCAAATGATGTTGGCTAGAGTTAATATTTACGACAGTCTTCTTCCCAGTCTTGAATAACCAAAGGTCATATGTCATCTCTCTTCAGTTAAATCAGCCACACCAAGTCTCCTACCTAGAAATAAACATGACTCAGAGACTAACCTTCTGGGAATTTTTACATTCTACAAGTGTGTCGTAAATTAAAGGAAATATTGAAACCTTACCTTTCTTAAAAAAGAAAATAATTTTATTTTCTTTTATTTAAGCCACTACAGACAAGATTGAAATGTGTGAGTGTGTGTGAGTGTGTGTGTGTGTCAGTGTGTGTGTGAGTGTGTGTGTGAGTGTGTGTCAGTGTGTGAGTGTGTGAGTGTGTGTCAGTGTGTGTGTGAGTGTGTGTGTCAGTGTGTGTGAGTGTGTGTGAGTGTGTGAGTGTGTGTGAGTGTGTGTCAGTGTGTGTGTGTGAGTATGTGTGAGTGTGTGTGAGTGTGTGTGAGTGTGTGTGTCAGTGTGAGTGTGTGAGTGTGTGAGTGTGTCAGTGTGTGTGAGTGTGTGTCAGTGTGTGTGTGAGTGTGTGTGAGTGTGTGTCAGTGTGTGTGAGTGTGTGTGTGAGTGTGTGTGAGTGTGTCAGTGTGTGTGTGAGTGTGTGTGTGTCAGTGTGTGTGTGTGTGTGTGTACAATCTAGTTTTGTAGCATGCTATTTACAATTCTAGGCCAGACATCAGACATCAGTGTGGACCAAAAGTGAAGCAAATTTTAGTTAAATCCAGAGGCTGAGCAAAACTTATAGAGACAGGCAGATTGGTTGCAGCTCCTGCCTGTCGTGTTCAAAGGTGGTTTGAACAATTACCTGCTTGTTATTGGCTAAGACTCGGCTATGAATTACAAGGCTAAGTTACCATCTTGCTAACACTGCAAGTTAGGCTACAGTTCACTGTATAAGAAGACACCTTTGAGATAAGTGGAAAAAGATAGAAACAGAGATATCTTAGGTCAAATTTAGCAAACCAATATGTATTAAGGCTTTGACTAGGTCTCAGCTAAGATACTGGAGCTGTTGTGAGAAACGAGGCCTGTGTGAGTGCTACAAGGAGTAGTGTGAATCAGCTCAGACCAGTTAGAGTAGTTGTAGGAAAACCTGCTACACAGAGTGTTCAGGAAAATCCTCCTTTAAAAGGTGATTAAGTTCCCAGGGGGTGAGGAGTTAAAAGCAGAGGGAAGCCAAGGGGAGAAGTCCTCATATAAAGGCAGAGGCTCTGTGGCTGGGTAAGTGGCTCAGTGGCTCACGTGCTAGCCACAAGAGCATGAGAATGTGAGCTTGATCCCAGCAGCCACATAGAAATGTTAGACATGGCTACACATGTTCACAATGGCAGTGCTGTGGAACCAGAGACAGGGAGATAGATGTCTAGAGCTGGCTGGCCAGCCAGTTCAGCCAAATCAGAATCTGTGTACCAAGTAAAAATGAGAGAGCCTGTCTCAATAAACAAGGTGGACCTTGTCCTGAGGAATGACACCCAATGTTGACTTCCGTCCTGCATATGTGTGCCCTAGTGTATGCATACACACACACACACACACACACACACACACACACACACACACGGTGGAAGGAATCAAAGAAAATAATTATGAGGTGCTTGGTCAGAGTAAGAGGTCTTCCTAAGAAACATAATCCTCCTGCAAGCCTCCCAGAGTATTTCAGAAACCCATCCAAATACACTCGGAGAAAGCACCAACCTGCCTATTTAACAAATTACAAACTAATATGCTATCAAATTAAATTGGGAGTGCAGCCATTTAGGAAGGGCATTGCAAGTTTGGTACGCTGAGCTGGTTATTTGATTCACGCTGTTCTTTCTAAATGGTCCATCACCATTTTTTAGTACAGAAAATGCCACACCTCCGATAGCTTTGCATTAAGAACCATCTGGATGCTCAGTGGCTAGAGGCACTGATAACATGTAACAGCTTTTCTCTTTCATGGTGAATTGTAACTGAGTTGTAGTTTCCAAAATCTTCTCTTGCTCCACTTTCTTTAGTGTTTTTGAAGTTAATGACTGTAGCTTGTTTCTAGTTTAAAAATAATTTTGAAGCACCTTTGCAACATCATTGTTATGGTTTGGATAAATGTGTATGTCCTGGTCCCCCAAACCCCAGCTATGCATTAGGGGTGTGGTTCCCACCCTCTGACATGTAGTGAATTAGTGGAACTGGTGGGAGAAATGAAGAAGTTAAGTCATTGGAGGTTTGCTCTTAAGTACACTGAGGGAGTTCAGTCTCTTCCTCCATCTTTGCTTCATTGTTCTGCTCAAATCAAACATCTGAACAGGCCAGGTCAGTTTTACTTGATGTGCTTTTGTGGTTGGTTGGTTGGTTGGGATGTTTTTGTTTGGCTGGTTGGTTTTTTGTTTGTTTCACAATAAAACACACCCTCCCATCCTCCTCACTCCCTCTCTGGAGAGATGTAGACTCAACAACCATAGACACCAAGCAGACAGCCTTGCAAGCATTATGCCCTTTCTCTGTCACCCATTTCTAGGTTCAGTCACCTCCCATATCCTGGCAAGAGACATCTTTCTCTGCTTCAGGCCTGAGAAAAGAACTTAGGCACCCAACCATCATGCAGCTAGGACCAGCCGTGATGCTTGAAGGCAACAGGCTGACTCCTCATTCCCCTTGCTGCTCTCTGAACCCTGCCTCATCTTTTCTCCTTGATTGGTGCCTTTCAATTGAATTGACTTGAATGTACCTTACTGACTTTAATAACAAAATAATAGATACTTGACAGGAAAGAGCCCATTGTCACTTTCCTTCCTGGGTCTTCAAAATGCAATAATAGTAATGATAATGGAAGCAATAACCTTGAATGGACATAATAACCATTTACAAGGAATGAGTTAATAGAGCAGGCACGTCTCAATGCCTGACATGACAGAATGGGCAATACACATCAACTATTAGTGTAATCGTCATGCATTAAGCACACAGCATTGCCAGACTGCTATGCCAAATACTTTCTATACATAATTTCATTTAATCCATGCAAGATGCCCCACAGAGTAGGAGATATTGCCAACCCATTTTACAGATGAAGGCATGAAGATTCCAAGAACTCAAGTGCTCACACCTACACATTGGGTACATTTGTAGTTGGTATTGAAATCCAATCTTCACAAGGCATATCTGTTTTCAAGTTGTCAGTATTCATCTTTAGATTGGGGGTAGCCTTGCAGAGTTTGAGATAGCATAAAGCTGACAAATTTTCTTGAATTTGAAAGTTCTATCATGAAGGCTGTTCTAAGCAATTCTCAACCCGTGGGTTGTGACCCATTTGGGGGGTGGAATGACCCTTTCACAGGGGTCATCTAAGATCATTGGAAAACATAGATATTTACATTGCAATTCATAGCAATAGCAAAATTACAGTTATGAAGTAGTAGTGAAAATAATTTTATGGTTGGGAGATCACCACAACATGGGGAGCTGTATTAAAGGATTGCAGTATTAGGGAAGTTGAGAACCACTGGCTTAGAGCTTTATTGAGCAGGATGTGCATCTGGGTTTGGGAGAGGGAACAGTGAAAAAGGAAAGTATGTGTTTGTATGCTTATTGAACGTATGCAATTATTATTTTACATATGTACATATGTATGTATCCGTGTGTTGCTAAAGACTTTAGGGAAGCAAAGAGATGGCTCAGTGCGTAAAGGAGCATGCTGTAAGCCAGACAGTCTGAGTCTGATCCCCAAACTGGCATCATGGAAGGAGAGGACTAAATCTTACAGGCTGTCTTATGACCTACACACACACACACACACACACACACACACACACACACACACACACACACACACCACTTAAAATTTTAAGATGGAATGAATTAAATTAAGTGCTTAAGATCTATTTTGCATTTGTTTTTCTTACCTCAAGGATCTTTTTTTAAAGGCTAATTTATTTATACAAGGTCACCGAGGTAGCTAGCTAGTGGTCATTTTCAAAATTCACACCCAGTTTGGCCTCATCTCCTAGCTGAGCCGTCTGCCTAGGCCTCCAGGCTGTTCATTTATGCTCCAATTCTCCGCCCTACAGCACTGCCACTGCTTTAATAATAATTTCACATTTTCCACTAAAACACCAAAATGGCCCATCAAGAGAGGTTAAGAGGGTAGGTCCCTCAGAGAAGAGCCGGAGAGAAAGCTAGACAGTCGGTTTAGGGCATGATTTTCTGTACAGAACTGCTTGGAGGTGTGAAGATGGATGGGCTGACCTCTAGGGTCTTCTCCAGTCCCAGAGCTTCAGGATTGATTTGCCAATGAAAATGTCAAGCCTTTTCTTCCATAAAATGATGCATGGCAGCCTGGCTACATTGCCCACTTCTGCCCCCGCCCCTCACAGCTGATTAGGAAAGCCAGGATTAAATTAGCAGAAGCAGTGGGAAGGAAGGGTTTCCCCTGGAGTGATAATGTTGTCCTAAGACAAGGCAATAAGGGGAGGGGGAGAGGGGAAAAGGATGCGTAGCAGTCAGGGAGGTGGGGGCCCAGACGCTGAGCTGTGAGGACCATCGCTGTGTATTAGTCAACAGGCCCCAGGGCATAAACTCTGTGCTTTTGTGTGTACCAGAATATATACTGTATATACAATATACTCTAATTAAACAGAATAAACACGTATGAAAGAAATTGAGATGCACACATTGTAACCAGGAAATAAGAGGCTCATCTTGGAATCAGGACTCAATCAACAAAAGTTGGCTGAAGGTCGGCTCGCTCGGTGCCACACACATCGTTCTAGGTGACAGGGGCACAGACAGAAGCCAGAGGGTTCTGAGTCGCTGCCTTTCAGCAGCAAGCAGAACACAGGCAAGACACCAAGGGGAACATGTGCCTCAAGTACCAAGTAGGTAGTAAAGCCAAGAATGAATAGGATGATCAGGGGCTGTAGGAGGAAGTGGTGATGTTTGAGAGGGTGATCAGAGATGTCTACCAAGAAGGAGCTACTGAGTGAGCTCAGAGAGCCAAGTGCAGCAGCGAATCAGATGGAGAACCAGGCGAGGGAGTGGCGGAGGTGGCTGTGAGCTTATGAACCATGGCCATGTAGCAGCAGAGAGGATGCGGTCGTTGGTGACAGGGTGAGCAGCGCAGAGTACTGGGCAGATATGAAAGGATTTGTGGCTTTCAGATGGAACGAGACAGGGGTTGCTAGAGGTGAGAATAGGCAGGTT